TCCCTGAAGACGGCAAGGTGAGAACACAGGTAGCAAAGTTCAGAATCCAATCTGCCACTCTGTTTCCCAGGCTAGGGAAAGGACTGCCCTCATGTATCAATGGGGTGGGAGCAGACTAATTCCATGCCCAATTGTCAATGTGCTACACCATAGTTAATAGAAACCAGATCTGATCCTTTGACAGGATACAGCAGAGAATGCAGCAGGGCTCGGCAATGTCCTCTGTGCTGGGCAGAACATGCTAGGCAGGTGTTGAAAGCATGAGTTTTAGTGAGGCAGACTGGGATCGGGTCCTTAGCCAGTGGACCTTGACCAGGGCACTTCCCCTTATGAGCCTCAGTTTCCTCGCCCATTAAGGCAAAGAAGTATAGCAGTTCTAGCATGGATGGTAGTTCTGAAGACAAAAGAGTAGGTTGGCACATCACAAGTGTCTGATAAATCTTAGCTGTTACTGTATTATTATCACTGTTGTCAACTAAATGGAGTTCTTCAAACTGTTCAGTCATTCAACACAGTCTCACTGAAGACAGCAGAGATTCTAGGAATTGGTTTGCCAACAAGGCTGAACATTGGTTATATCGTGAAATATCTAGTTTTCTTTGTATGGCATTTCACATTTACGTGAGTGCATTTCTTTCTAATTCATAGGACAGTGGTTTTTTTCTACCCACAGCAATATGAAGAACCATGCAAAAAGAAGTGGAAAATATTTTAAGTTCCAAAAGATTTTAAATTTTTATAAGTACAATCGTTACTGACTATAGTGAAAAACAGCTTTTGTTTTGCAGAGATGATAATAATGACTTTTTAAGTGGAAAAACCACCTCATTTCAGCTCTATAATTGCCAACCAAATCTTATAGTAAGTACCTATTACTACCTTAAATGCTGATTTTTTTAATGTGTGTCATTGGCTTAAAGTAAAAAAAAACAATACAAAAATTGTATCTTAACAATGAATTTTACAACAAAATTTTACCCCTCTAACCCGTGCTATGCTATGGGTAAAACCTAGAAAACCATCTCAAAAGTTTTGCTTTGCGTACCATAATGTGTGGGTCACCTGACACCCATTAATCTTTTTTTGTTTGTTTGCTTTTGAGACAGGGTCTCATTGTATAGTTCAGGCTGGCCTTGAACTTAACCCCATGCTGGCCTCAAACTGCCAGCATCCTCCTGCCTCAGCTTCTTCAGTGCTGGGATTTCAGGCGTGCTTCACCACACCTGGCACTCCTACTAATCATTAAAACCCTTCCAGTGTCTCATCTCTGAGAATTAAATTTGATTTGACATCAGAAGGGTACCATATCTTCAAGAAGTTTGATAACTTCTGCCCTAAGCTGGTTTAGCCTTGTATATCTTATCTCAAAATTGCTCAGTTAGGACTCATGGGGTGGCTGGAGGTGACAGAGGAAGACTTGGTGCCACCATCCTCCAAATACTTTCAGCCCTGCAGTGCAGCCTCTGCTCCCTGGCTCCCACTCAGCCCATCACAGGAAGCGGTTGCCGGGAGGGGGAGAGGCTGCCACTGTCCCGCCTGTGTCTCTCCCTCTTCCATCATAGGGTGATCCCCAGGCCCACAAAGCCGCCTTTGAATGAATAGAGCAAGAGCCTCTGCTGTGGTGTCAGAACAAAGACTGAATGTGCCTAATCCGGCCATTGAGCAGGGGACAGGGCTGCACCTAGAGGAACAATGCCACATCTGAAACCCAAATGGGCACCGCCAGGTCCCTCTGGCTCCACTGCCCCCTGTCCTCGGAACTCCTTTGTGAGGTCTTTGCTCCCCACTTCTACCGCCCCTTTCGCCCCCTTCACTCACATTCCCACCTCCAGGAAGACGGCGAAGGTAGGTGGGGCTGCTCAGAAAATCTGTGGAAGTACGCGGGACAGCGAGGGGCCCTCGCCTGGGTGTCACCAGCATGCCTTCCACTGCAAAGCACACCTGCACTTACCAACAAACCACGGGTCCACCGCTCCCTGCAGTGGGCCCTTTGGGCAGCTGGGCCTGCTCAAAAGGTACACCTGGGCTCCCCATCTCTAGGCACACATCTGATGAACTTGTTTTATTGCTGCGGCTGTCACTGTTTGCAATTTTAGGGATTGAACACAGGGCCTCGTGCGTGCTAGGTAAGAGCTCTACTGCAATGTTTCCCAGGATGCCCTTCAACATGCATCCTTCTGGATCAGCCTCCAGAGCAGTGGGGATTACAGGCCGGCACCACCACGCCTGTGGGAAGCATGTTTACAGTCTTTGAGCAGTCTCCCACAGCCCACTGCAGCTACCAGTGAGCTGAGGAACAGCTGAGGTTTTAGGTAACGGGATGGCAGAGCCACTCCAGTTGGGGCCTTCCAGAACGGGGCAATGGCTCCATGGCTAAGGCCCTGATAAGGCTGCCCCTTGACCCATGTTTCCTCTCTCTTCCCACCCCTGGCTTTTAGCCTGATTTAAGCTTCATAACAAGAGAAAAAAGAAGAGAACACCCTGCACCAATGAAAAGAATCACCAGTAGAAAGGCAGATTCCAGCTGAAAATCTGGAGTCCTTAAACTAGATGTCAGAATTCAGCCAGTTCTTTCTCTCCTTCCCCCACCTTTCCTCATAAACCATCTGCCTCCCCCACTGTTGTCCTGACCCCTGGTAGCACTGCTCAGGAGAACTGGACCTGATCTTCACAAGCAACACAAAACCTAGCACTGCCACAGTGGTCCCTTCTAACAGCCGAGTACTCGCTACAAATCTTTCCCTGCATCTCATGTAAGTTCTCCATACTGAAATTTAAGTTTATTTCTTGTCGACCATTTCAACAATTTTTTCTTGAGTACCCACGAGGTCTGACCCAGGTCCTGGCCTGGCTGCCAAAAACATGACCTGGCCGCTTCCTTCCAGAAGCCAATGCTCTGGTCAAGGAGGAAAGACCCAACGCCCTGGAGCCATGAGCTGCCCGCCACATCATGCAGCTGCCCAAAGGCCCAGGAGGTTTTAAGTCTTGGAGAAGGCGGTGCTGAGGCTGAGCAGCCAGCAGGAAGGAGTGGCATGGGAACGGCTCCTGGAGGGAGAGCTGCCGTGGGTTCTTCGTGGAGAGGACAGAGTGTGAGAGGGGAGATCACCTCACGCAAAGTGGCCTGCGTGCCCAGGGAGCTGCAGGGAGGTCAGCGTGACTGCGCCATGTCTGTCAGCAGCGCCCCTCAAGACAGCAGCCTCCTAGGGAGGTCAGAGTAGGAAGCCACTTCACAAAACTGGTGTTTTCTGCTACTTACTCTGGACACAGGGATAAAACTGGCTGGAAGGGGAAAAGAAGAAGCACAAAACAGACAGTGAAGAGGTGCTGGCCCAACTCCAAACACAAAATGCTGATGGACCTGCACTCCCCGCAGCAGCGGCAAGGGAAAGAAAGCATCAGTGTAGGAGATGGTTTAGAGGAAAAGAACAAATGTCACGCGGTTCCAGCCTGTTTCAGTAAATTTGACGGAATTGCGTCGCCTCCTGAGTTCCCACTCAGGGCTGAGTGCAGTTCAGGCCCTGGGGAGAAGAGTCCTTGCCTAGGGAATGAGTCTCAGGGGTTGCTCTCTGGAGGCGGGCTCCTCTCAGGCCATCTCAGACCCAGGGACTCAGCAACCCTTGCTCCCTCATCCTTTCTCTAATGTCCCCAGGGGTGCCCAAAAATCCAGCCCGGGACCAGGCTGCTGTCACCCACGCAGAAAAAGCAGCTGGAACTGGCCGTGTGACCCTGCACCCACTCATGTGCCAAGGAGAAAAAGAGGCCTTCCCCACAGCCAGTTTGATACAGATTCAGGTGATTTGAACGCCATGTCCCACAAGAGAGGAGCCAGTACCTCACTTTGCCCCAAAAGCACATCCTTCTGGCCTCAGAAATGGATTGGGCACAGCCAACTAGTCCACGGACCTCTCAAGTGAGGGATCCGGTACTGATTCAAGGGCCCCAAGGCGTAGAAAGGATGGACATCAGGAGTGTCTCCTACTGCAGGGACACGTCAGGTACATTCACCGAGATGAGGGAAAATGCAAGCTAAGGATGGAACAGAGCAAGGAATGATCCAGAAACAGTCCACAGAAGCACGCATGGGGCTTGCAGGCTGTCCCCACGGTAGATCTGCAGTTCAAGGCCGCTCCTGCTGGCCTTGTCCCCATCTCCATAGGAGTAGCGTCTCCACCGGTGAGGAGCCGAATTTATCAGGTTCTGTGTGAGACCCAGCCTGAACTACCAGAAAAGGCACTGGGCTCAGCCTAGCCCAGAAGCCAGAAAGAGGCCTCCTTGTAAGACGGCTTCTCTCCTCCTTCACCAGCCTGACACCTCAGGATGCTGTTTCCACATCCCCACTAAGACACAGGCCCGTCCGAGTTCCCAGTCCCACCTGTGTGTAATCCAGATTCAAGACGCTCTTCCCTGACTTGTACAGATTCCCAAAGAGTCTCCAAGATTCAATCCTCCGGCTTCCTTGGTCCCCGGCCTTTCTCTCACACGGCTTCCAGAATATCTGTCTAAAATAAATACCCCAATGTCCTGGAAAGCACTCAGTTTCTCAGACATCTCTGTGGCCAAACAATATTTATGAACAAGTCTTTTAGCATCAGATAGACTAGAATTTCAAATCCCAGCCCTACTACTTATTTGTTGTGTGAACTTAAGCAAGTCACCCAATCTTTCTGAGCTTCAGTTTCCTCATCTGTGGGGGGGAAAAAAAAAAAAAAAGAATAATGTCCTTCTATGGACTGGTCGTGAGGGCTGGGGAGAGATGTCTATAGTCCACTTAGCACAGTGCCCGATGCATTGTTAACACCTAGTAAACGGCAGCCATGTATATTAGAGCTGCTCCACAGTACTCAAACTAAAATGGGATGGGGCAGCAGAGGGAAGAGGAAATATTCAGCAAGCCCCATCTGGCCTCCCCCATGCTTCCTGGAACAGATCAGCATGGAATCTCAAGGGGGCCTCCCATGTGGCAGATTCTACCCAATCTCCACAAAGCCAGGAGACGCTACCTTAAGAGGGTCTCTTCCTGTGCCCTTCATGAGCTTGCTGCCCCAGTTCCCAGGAGAGGTCTTCTTGAGGGCTCCCAAGGCTCGTCCCTCTGGTGCAGAGACTCCATCTGCTGTCCACTCCATCTCCTGGCCCCCTCTGTCTGATACCTGGGGGTTGGAGAGGCACATTTTCCTGACTCACCTTCAGAGAACTTATGATAAAGGTAGAAAATAAGAACAAACATAAATCACATGATTTAACTATTCAGCCTCAGAAGATATGTGATACTAAAAAACTCTACTCAGATGGGCCCATTCATTGGGGAAAAAAAATGAAGATAGAGGAATTCTGGATTGATCTAGATTTTCTCACAAATTGATATCTGAGTCAGGCTTTTATTTCACTCATATTCTGAAATAAAGATCCCAGGAAGCAGAAAAAGAGCTCACCAAAGAATAACTCCAAAGCAAGGGCACACAGGGAGCCCCAGCACCCGGCCACCCTATCCCAAGGATCAGAAGGATCCAGAGCTGGAGTCTACTGCAGTTTACAAATCCAGCTATAAAGCTGTCTAGGCTGGGCCAGACCCTCACCCCTGACTGACTCTGGCTCTGGCCTCAAACACACTGAGCCTGCATAAACAAACAAGGGATTACACTGACCCAGACTACGAGGAGACTGCATTTTTGCTTTCCGAAAAAGTTGCAATCTGCCAAGAAAAACCATCTCTGATTCAGACAAGGAAAATCTTGAAATAAATTAGAGCTGCACACAGGCAGGACACAACCAAAGAACCCACCTGCTTCCTGGAGGAGGAGGCCTGGTGGAGGTCAGCCCAGCCTCCTGCTTCCTGGCCTGGCAGCCAATAGCCAGCCCTCTAGGCGCCAGCCTGAAGCACTCGCAGATATGAAGGTGTTCCTCCAGGCCTGGTCCTGGGCAAGTCCCTCCTCTGCCTGGGCCCCAGGGCTGCACTCCCTGGGCTTCATCCAAGGCAACTCTTCTCCTTGGCAGGAATCCACACGGCAGAGCCCACATCTCTCCTCTCCCTCCTTGCCCGGTTCCCCTGCCACCACTCTCTTTCCTGCACTTCCCCTTGCCCCCCTTGTGTTATTCTCTCCACTTTGCTTCAGGGCTCCCTCTTGGCTCCACATTACAGGACAGAAGGGAACTCTGCTGTGTTACCTCTGCCCGAGGTGGCCTGGAAGTCCCTGCTGGCTACTCAGTCCTCCCGAGTGCTGGGTTCAGAAGTGAACAGGCAGTGAGGACCAGGCCCTTCCTGCTTCCTTCAGAAACCAGAGCAATGGCCAGAGAAGTGTGCTCAACCCAGTCAACCTGCACCTCCTCGGAGGATTCCTGCATGGGTCAGAGTTCTCTCCACACCAAGCCACTGAGCCCAAAACTCTAACCTGCCAGCCCCTCACATTCTCCAGCAATCACCAAGGCCTTCCTGCCTAGATCTGTAGGTCCAGCATAGACATGTAGCAAATTCTCAGAAGCCGATGACTTCCCAAGCCAAAGCTGAGGCCCTTGTAAAGATTCCTGTTTTATTCAAAGAAATGGAAATCATTTGGCACTTGACAAAGTGGGCTCTCAACCGGAGGAGTGAAATGAACACTGGGGTTCAAATCTGAGCTCTAGTTTTGTGGTCTCAGACATGTTTGGCTTAATCTGTGCCCCTGTCCCCACATCTGTGAAATCGACAAGATCGCGGGACTACCACGCAAGGGTGTTGAGAGCAGAGTGAATTGCAAGTGATGTAAAGGACCTGCAATTGTGCCGGGTGTAGAGAGGCACTCGGTTAATTTCAGCCATTGTCACCATCGCCATTGTCATCACTGCCCCTTGCAGGTTCCATACCAATTATGGCTCTTGTTGCCTGTTTGTCATCCTGCTTCAGGGACTGTGACAGTCATCAAAGCAAGCACAGTCCCAGGATGAGGCCCCACAATGGGCAGGAAGTGTGAGAAGAACATGGCTTCCAGGCACTTTGACAGGATTGGCAGGCTCGAAGTGGGGTTTGCTCTCTCAATGGAGGCCGTGTCATCCTCCTTCTGAGGGGCCACTGAGAAGCGGGCCACAGGAGCAAGGGAGGTTCAGCACCACTCGCCCCATGTGCCCTTCTCCTCGCCTCCCTTCCTCAAACTCTGAACACCAACAGGACCAGCATGTCCTGCCCATGGCCTGACTGGAAGCTTGTGTCTGACAGGGCGGCTCAATCCTCGCAGAGCCCCAACTGAGCTGTCAGCAGGGTGTGACAGGTCCTGGCTGAGCCTTCTTTTGGCCCAGCTTCACCTCAGAACACAACTGAGTGGTTTCATTTCTATTCAGTCCTCAGGAGGTTACTCCAAGGAGATCCGGCTTGTCACTCTTCACACTGTCATCCGGCAGAACACGATTCATTTATGTTTGTCCCCTGGAGAGGCAGCTCCCGGATTCCGTCAGGGCTTGGTAATACCGAACCAGGAGCAGATTCAGGAGGCTGGAGAAAGGGGCTTGCGCTCTTCACCATCCTGTTAGTTCTCAGCCCAGAGGGCTCCCAAGAGAAGCAGAGTACATTCCCCGAGGCTGAGAAGAGCCAGAAGACTCTTAGTGTGGGCTCAGCTTTTTACAGATTTCTCAGTCTTTCCTGGTGGTCTGAGGTACAAGCAGGAAACTGGGCTTCATTTCCTGCTCTGCTCACTGTGATAAGAAAATTGGAGTAAGGACAACTTCTAACCTACAACAAACTTTCTGGAAGGAGCCTGCCTGGCCTTAAATGGGGCCCTCCAGATTCCAGGGGGCCAGCAGCCTGCACGTGTCTGTTTCCTTCACCCAAAGTTCATTCATTTGGTAACAGATACCCAAGCCTCCTATGTGTTTGGCCGTGTTCTTAGTGCTAGAGACACAGTGGAGAGCAAGAAACACAAGTCCCTACTCTCAACATTTTAGGGAGTTGGGACAGTCAGACGAATATACAAATAAGCGAACAAAACAATTTCAGACAATAATTTGTGCTCTGAAGAAAATAAATCAGGCCAATGGCCTGGCAAGGACTAGATCACGTGGATGAGGAAAGACTGTAACACTTGAGTATACCCTGGAGTGTCAGTTTAATTGGCTGCCCCTTCAAAATGTAAAGACGTTGTTCCTCCTCTCAAGAGCTCCCTATTCTAGGAGAAGAGAGAAGGTGCACAAACATGACAGTCACGTTCTGCCCATACCCTACCTTATGGAAGGAGTGCGGAGAAGATGGAGGAGGCGAAAGAAAACTCACCTAGGACTCATCACTGGCCGCAGTGAGGAGTCTGAATTTCATTCCCGAGTGCCATGAGAAGCCCTGAAGGATTTACCTAACAGGATGGCATCATTTAATGTATATTTTATAAAACATTCACCTAGCCTGGCCTATGAGGAAGGATAAGAAAACCAAAGAGTAGAACGTGGCTCCCTGGGCGCTGGGGATGGGAGTTGAGCGGCCAGATACAAAATTTCAAGAGGTCTCTTATACGACATGGTAAGCTATAGTTACTAACAATGTACTGTGTTACTGGAAATTGCTAAGAGAATAGGTTTTAAGTGTTTTAATGATGTTTGTGCATTAATGCATATGTTAAGTAGTTCAATTTAGTCGTTCCACAATGTACTCTTTTTTCAAATACACACAGTTCATATTTGTCAATTTTTTTCTTTTCTTTAACAAAAGAAAAGCAGCAAAGAGATAAATACTGAGGCTATTGAGGTTATAGACTCAGTATTCGGGGGCAGAGTAATAAATGGGGGCAGCGGTTTCAAACAGAATGGTACAAGTGGGCAGAGAGAGTACAAATCGGATATATTTTGAAGGTGGATGCAACAGGATTTTCTGGTAAAGCAGATGTGAACGCTTAAAGGAAAACAAAAAGGACCAAAAGGGACCTCTAGATTTGGGACTTGGCCAAACAGGCAAGTACATGTGCAACTTGCTCAGACAGGAAAATGCTTGGCTAGGGGATAAGTTCCGAGGGAAGAGCACATTGCTTTGGAGAGGGAAGCAAGTGTAAATGGAGCCAGCACCTGACCCAGCTCCCCTCTCCCGGATGGCTGCCTCCATCCCCTTGATGGCAATACTACAGTTCTCAACAGAACTGCCCGGATGAATGCAGCCATCCCACCAGGGGACACCCGGGAGGTGACACTGCCCACCCCTCCCACCCCTCCTAGAAGATCAGGCCAAGGCAAGGCTACCGGGCACTGCATCCTTCCCTAGCCTCTTCTCCACTCTACCTTGCTTCCCTTCTACTCCCTCTCCTCGGTAAACCCGCCCTCGATAAATCCCCTACACTGGGATCCCTGTCTCAGAAACCCAATAGCAGCAACACCTCAGTAATGATGGCAAATGGGCAGCCGGTCACGGAGTCTAAGAGGCAAGAACCAGAGATACAAATGTGAGTGTCACAGTGTATGCAGTTAAAGCTATGAGACTTGCAATCATACAGGAGAAAAAGTATAGCTGGTGGCACAGGCCATCTCATGTGAGGGGCGGAGCAACAGTGGAGCCTGAGGAGGTCTCTCTCCTTCAAGCCCACACAAAACTGCCCCGTGTATTTCCACCATGCAATGCCTCATGCACTGGTACCAGAACTGGTGAGAGGGAACTCACAGTCCACAGAAACAGTTCTGCTGCATTTACTCAGATATCCTCGAGTCCCACTATGAGCTAGAATGGCTAGGATGGTTGTGCGCTAAGATGGCCCTAAAATGGTCACAGGACAGGAGGCAATAGGCTCACAAGACTCAGTGTGACTTCAGGACACACAAAGTCATCAGTCAAGTTCTGCTGGTTTTCAGTTCAGCATCTGTTCAATCCTCTCTCAGTTCTGCTGCATTTACTCAGATATCCTCGAGTCCCACTATGAGCTAGAATGGCTAGGATGGTTGTGCGCTAAGATGGCCCTAAAATGGTCAGGGGACAGGAGGCAATAGGCTCACAAGACTCAGTGTGACTTCAGGACACACAAAGTCATCAGTCAAGTTCTGCTGGTTTTCAGTTCAGCATCTGTTCAATCCTCTCTCCCATGCCCTAAACACACACACACACACACACACACACACACACACACACACACACGTACCAGCAAGCACTCTACCCCCATAATTTGATTCACTGTCAAGCAGGACTTCT